CACTCTTTCTAACCTGATTCTTCTTGGGGGTAGTTTTTGCCCCAGTTATCAGAAGACGTTTCCTGGTTTAACAGAACATTTCTCAACTCTGTGGAAGTCTCTTGTGTGTTCCTCCCCGACATTTTCCTCCTTTCTGCCCTTCAGCCAACCACATTTCCAACATGTGTGCTCTTCATTCTCTTGTTTTTCCATACACGTTTACCAAACAAGAGCCCCAAACAATATATTATTTAGGCCAGTTTTTGAGCTATATCATGTACATTCTTCTGTGAGTTGCTTTTTCTCCATCAACATTATGTGAGTTTCATTCATGTGAAGAACTGCTATTCATTTCCACTGTTCCCTACTATCCCATCATATGCACATACCACAGTTTATCAAATCTCTGTTAATAGGATTGGGGTGTTTGGCTATTACAGATTATTTCACTATAAATATTCCTGTGGTTGTCTCCTGGAACTCATAAGATTTTCCCCCAGGTATCTACTTAGGAGTGGAATTGCTAAGTCTAGATGATGACTTTCATCTTTTGGTTGCCCATGAATCTTGATGCGCCCTTTCTCCCTCTCTTGAATGTCCCCTAAATTCAATCATCATTGTGGTGAGAAAGAAGAGGAGAGAAAGGTGGTGAAGGTGGTGGTGGTGGTGGTGGTGGTTGTGGTGTTGGTGTGACTTTCAGCTACGGCCTTGGGGAACCAAAGCCAGGAAGGACTGAGGTGGGGCAGTGCCCTCATACAGCTCTGAAGAGCATGAGTGTGAGGTGGGGTTGCCTGACTGAAGACTGGGGACTCAGCTTGCAGTAGTGACATCACACAGTTCCCTGGCCACCCTCTGTCCTCTCTATGGTGTCCTCCACTGGCTTTAGACATAATACCCACCTCTCTATCTCTTGGCAACCACTGTTTTGTGGTAGGGTTGGCTTTTTGGAAAGGAATAACCCACAGTGGGTCTCTTACTTCCAGAACCTGATGTAGCAGGAGAGGGGCCCCTCCCTGATTTGTGGTTATGTCCTAGGATCCTTTGTGGTGGGGCTGTGGCTACTGCCCCTTGGGCTGCTCTAAACTTGTTTCTTTTTGTCATGTCCAAGAGGCCTGCAGCTGATAACTTTCTTCTGGATAAGAAACTAAGGGGGGAGTTCATTAAGTGTTTTTAGGATGGGGAGACTGAAGGAGCCAGGAGAGGTGATGGTTAGAAGATAGGAAGACAAGGGGATGGCTGATGGAGGGGAGTGTAGAGGAGGCGAGAGGGAGGGCTTCTCCCCTGGGGTGAGGGGTAGAGAAGGATGAGTGAGGGAGGGTATGTAGGGCCTTGAGTTTCTTGAGTGATAAAGCATGAGGTGGCTCAAAGTGGGGACCTACAGGAGAGTGTGAAGGTCTGATCAGCTTTTGAGAAAATGGGAAAGGAGGTAAGAGGTTGGAGTCAAGAATTTATCATGTCTACCTGCTTGATTGTGTGGTTTTGGAGCATTCAGCTCTGTTGCCTAAACAAAAACAACATCACTCCTTGTTCCTGGCCCTTTCTATACAAAGTAGGGATAAGCTGCATCGCCTGAGATCTCGTTAGAAACACAGACTCTCAGGCACACCCAGGCCTCGGGCACCAGAATCGGCATTTTCACAAGATCTCAGATGGATTCCTATGCACCATGACTGTGGGATTAGCTGCTCTTGATCCTAATGGAATCCCCAAGGTTTTTTTTAGAATCACTTCCCACAGCCCTGTCCACCCCTTCTGCTTTAGCCTGGGTGAGCCCAGCAAAGGTCTCAGGTGACCCTAATTTGCAGGTGACATTGTGATCCACTGCTCAAGAGCAGCATTCCTTAGCCTTTCTCCTGCCTCCAGCACACCTGAGAGTGACAGCCCCTCCAGCAATATACTTTGTCACTGAGCAACACACTGCAGGGTTTGAGCCAAGCAGGACTTTGGGGGTTCAACTGCCTTTTGAAATAAAGGGCCCTCACCTTCATTGGGGATCTTGTTAACAGATCCTGATTGGCTGGTCTGGGAGGAGTTGGAGGTTCTGCATTTAACAAGCACCCAGTGATGCTAGTTGGTGACCACTAGGCTTTGAGGAGCAGGTGTGCTAAGTAGGGCATGAGATGCATTATTCTACTGATTTGAGGTAGAAACTGGTGAATTACTTTTAAAATATGGATTCTCCCCTTGTCTCACTCCAGACCTACTCTATCGGCATCTCCAGGGACTGGACCCAGGCACCCATAGGGTTTTAAGAGCTCCACAATGTGATTCTGATACACCAGTAAGATTGAGCACCCCCAGTTAGAGAGAGGGGGAGAGAGAAGGAGAAACGAGGGGGGAGAGAGACTCAGGATCCAAGCAGGCAGTAAGAAAAGCACAAGCCATGTTAGGTCTCCATGAGCAAAAGCTCCTCTCCTAAGCTTCAGTCATGAATGACATTACTCAGAAGCAAGTTCCAGACAAGGAGGTGGCACAGCCTCACAAGCCCTCCCTCTCGCCTCCTCTACAGTCTCCCCTCCCCCTTACAAATCATTGGCACAGGAAGATCCCCACCCCCTCGCTCACACACCCTTTATTTTACAAGCTGCCAGTTACTGTGGTGTCTTAAGGCTAAAGAATAGGCAGGCAGTTTACAGCCAATTAGAGAAAGAAATTAAGTAATGAGAGTGGAATTTCCACATGTTAGGTGTCAAAAACCGATTGAGTAGAAAATATCGATCCTCAGCATGCTCCAAGGATTTCCTAGGATTCACATATTTCAATGGGCTAGCTTAGTCTGTTTTCTGATTCCAGATAGAAGAGAATTCATAGATGCTCTAGAGAGCCACACCCTTCATTCCTATTCTTCTCTGAAGACAGCATTTCCGGGGGGTTTGCAGCTGTTCTTGTTCTGTTGATGCCGCACCCAGTCTGAAGTCACAGGCAGCACACTTCCTCCCTGTGTCCTGATGCTCTCTCTTTTTTTTTAAAAAAAATATTTTTTTATTGATTTCAGAGAGGAAGGGAGAGGGAAATAGAGATAGAAACATAATGATGAGAGAATCATTGATCGGCTGCCTCCTGCATGCTCCCCACTGGGGATTGAGCCCGCAACCCAAACGTGTGCCCTTGACTAGAATCAAACCCGGGACCTTCCAGTCCGCAGGCCAATGCTCTACCCACTGAGCCAAACCAGCTAGGGCCTGATGCTCTCTTGGTGATACCTTTAAACCCTCATGATTGAACATTCTGTCCTAAATAGTCAAGCAACACAACACAAAATTCACCCCTACACAAAATTCTGAGTTGGAAAAGGCTTTAAAAGAAATGCAGTTTTATATTTTCAAGTACAGAGAGCAACCCAATGCAGTCAAGAAGAAAGGACTTGGGGGACTCCCTGTACAGTATTATTTAGGTTAAAATGAATGAATGATGTTGAAGCTTTTGTGTGAATCATCTCCAGTTCCAAGTTGTATAGTCAGAATCAGTCAGTTCTAATACGCAGTCACACCTCTTAGAATGTATGCAAATGTGAAGAATGTGTGGATGGGGAGTAGGGGGTGGGCACACTTATGGAAGGAATGGGGGCAGGAACTCACGGAAAAGGCTCCTGTCCTAACGCCCTTACCTGGACTTTCTTCTTCCTAAGAATATGCGACTTACATGGATACAGTAAAACCTAAAAGTCAGCCAACTCTTCTAAGGACTGTATTCTGGAAACTAAAGCTCAGTGCTGTTTATTACATTGTGGTTAAGCGTTTAAAATTCTGTCACTCTCCAGGTACAAGGCTGCACCATTCTTGTTCGTTTCTTACTAGTTCATCCTATACTTCTAATTGCCAGCTAGCAACACAAGTAGTCAGGTTCAAAACAACCCTCTCCTTGCCTGCCCCCCCCCCCCCCCCCCCCATTACTCATCCCCACAGATGTCTCTGTTATCCACTGAGGCAGAAGGCACTTTCCAAAGGCGGCCACAGCAGTATCTCCCATCCTGCAATGTGACCTTGTGACTCCCTCATCAAGAAGTAGTATCTAATGTCGCTCCCCATGAATCAGGGCTGGCCTCAGTGGCTCTCTTACACCCAAGAGAACATAGCACTCATGATGCCGCTTGAATTCTACAACTGGCTTCTGCTTTGATCTCTTGGCACGATGATCCCGCTTAGGACACTCCCATGGCAGCCTGGCGCCATGCCAGGAGGAGCCCGAGATGCTGGGGGTGCTTCCTCCAAAGGCCCAGTTGAGCATTTGAGTTATCCAGCTCAAGGGCCAGACATAGGAATGAAGAAGCTTCCAGATGATTCCAGACCCCAATGGTTCAAGTCTTCACAGCTGAAGTCCCAGATACCCGAGAGCAGACACAAGCCACCCCTACTGTGCCCTGTCTGAACACCTGACTCAGAATCTGTGAACATCATGACATCGTCATTTTATGCCACAATCTCCATCCAGGGTCCTCACTCCTCAAAATCAAACAAGTTTTGTCTTTGAATCACGCATAGAGGTGTGGTGCCTGAAGCAGATGAAAGTGATTAGCTTGCCAAAGGAAGGCCTGTAGAGGGAGAACAGAGGATGAGCGGAAATGTGAACATTTTAAAGGTGCAGGGAGAGGAGAAACAGGAGTGTTGGGACAGGAGGGTATCACCTGCCAAGGAGATCTGTGTTTCCTGAAGGAGAGGCTGTTGAAAAGGTCAAGCACGTCAGAGAAAACAGAGGTTGGGAATAGGTGATTGATAAAAAGCTCACCGGACTTGGCACTGGGGTTCTCAGTGACCTTTCAGAAAGTGTTATCCTTAGGCAGCCCATGGAGGGGAAGAACCTGAGAGAAGAGGAGGATGTGGAGGTAGATAAACGGGTTTCCAAAAGCGTGGCCATGAGAACAGGAGACAGGACACTGGCCCGAGGCAGAGAGCAAGATTCAGGTTAAGAATCTGCTGCAGACGGGAAGCCGTGGGTGTATCTGTGAGCCAGCCAGAGTGAGACGATGGGAGAGTTCAATAATAAAGCAACGCTGCCAACGAGGCAGGAGACAGCCTTTTCATTCCATCCCCGGCTCAGAAGAAAGGGCCGATTTGTACTCATCCAGGGGCCCCCTCTGGACCACTGCCTCTTCCCAAGGACTTCCTCTCTAAGCTGGTTCCCAGCTGCCCTAGGGTCACCCACAGAGCTAACCTAGTGACTCCAGAATGGTAAACTAAAGAAAAAACAAACAAAAAGACCCAGCATTCTAGCGTCAAGGAATTTAAGGAAGCTGTGGCTGAATAGAATTAAACTGATTTCTTTAAAACCCAACCTTCCTGGATCCCTTTATGCCAATGGACAACCTCAAACTCCAAGACAAAGAGAAAGAATTCTGAGTTTCCGGTCACAGGACCACAGAATCTTGGTGCCCTGGAGCATTTGGTGGGACTGGTTTTTCCCAGAACACATTCTAGCCAATACTGTTCTGTGCTAGTATGTTTGTTCATCATGAACAGGGAGTGTTCCAAGTGAGTATAGGGAGGAAGCAAAGTTAAGAAAGGGGGGGAGAGGGGTACAGAGGAAGAAGGGAGGGAGAGAAGGGGAGAAGAGGAAGCAGACTGGTTGGGGGCAAATGCCAGGCAGAAGGAGAAAGGAACGGGAAAGAGGTCTAGCACTTACTAAATGTCCTCTGTGTGTCTGGAAGGGCAGACAGAGATGTCAGAATAATAATATTTTAAAAAGTCACAAGCAGCCCTGGCTGGTTTGGCTCAGTGGATAGAGCATCAGCCTGCGGACTCAAGGGTCCCAGGTTCGATTCCGGTCAAGGGCATGTACCTTGGTTGCGGGCACATCCCCAGTGGGGAGTGTGCAGGAGGCAGCTGATCGATGTTTCTCTCTCATCGATGTTTCTAACTCTCTATTCCTCTCCCTTCCTCTCTGTAAAAATCAATAAAATATATTTTTTTAAAAAGTCACAAGCAAAGTTATTCAGCAGAGGTTTTGAGAAATGAGAACCACCAAATTCTTCTAGAAATATAAGCCCCCATTGGAAAAGACTATGAAGAGACAAGATCAAGCCTGAACCCCCTCAATGCCTATATTCTGAGGGTTGAAATCGACAAGAAATAAGACCAGCCAACTCAACCATCAGGAAAGAGCCCGGAGCACCAGAATGTGAAGGCAGAGTTGGAAAAAACCAGGGGTGAGAGTTGCTACCCACTACGTGCTTGTCTGACATTTCTGCAGGCACCCACCCCAGGCCCTTTGCTGTGTCCTCAACCACAAATCTGATAGCGTGACACCAAGCGCCAGCAGCCGAGTTTACCCTTCACCTGCGGAGCCAGCTCACCAGATATCTCTATACGGGAGAGATTCCGAGGTTGTGATATGAAACTTAGAAGTGCAGTCGGAAAGGAATGAGGAAGAAAGAGGTTGTGCACTATTTGGGCAACCAGCTAGAACTCCTCGCTAACTTTCCTCATCTGAACTCTACCCAGCCTGGACCTGTTATGACAGAAGCCACATTCCTGTTCAGCTTGGCAGTGATTCCATTTTCATTCAGCTCAATTATCATGACTTCTACTTAGAGGCAGAAAGCACTTAAGCTTAATACTTAATATCAACCTGAAGTCCAAAAGAAAGTCTAAAAACTATACTTAAAAAATTATATATATATATAATTATTGATTTCAGAGAGGAGAGGAGAGGGAGAGATAGAAACATCAATGATGAGAGAGGATCATTCACTGGCTGGCTCCTGCCCACCCACTACTGGGGATGGAGCCCTGACCAGGAATCTAACCGTGGCCTCCTGGTTCATAGATCAGCATTCAACCACTGGGCCACAATGGCTGAGCCACAAGTTTGATGTGGAAAGCTGAGAAACACATATTGACGGCCTCCCCAGGTTTCAGAGCTGCGGTGGGAGGGCGCTGGTGGACATATGCCCTCCCTCGCACTGAGAGCCTCCCCACACAGAAGAGCAGAGACACCGTCTGACCAGGAGGAATCACTGCAGAAGTGTGAGGGATTTCATGCTGTGCCACTATTTCCTCTGGGTGAAAACTTTGAAAAAAGACCAGTTTAACAGGCAACAGAACGCTGGAAGGAGAGACGAGTGGACAGGGGGTGACATGAGGGACGCAGGCTTCTGGGAGACCTTGGAAAGGCAGACTGGTGGTGATGGAGACTTTGGAGAAACCAGATAAAACCAGAGGTCATTCTGATGGAGGCTGTGGAGAGGTGTGTCTGGAGAGTCAGAAACAGATCAATTTCATGGAGATTTCTGTGAATAGAAACCACAGTCATTTAGCTGGAATTCCAGGAACCTGGAGGAAACGGTTTCAACCTGGAGCAAATCTGGGGTCCAAAGAGAAAAGGATCAGCTTTGGAAGGGAGAACCAGCAGGAAATGAAATAGAAAAGCCACGACCAGAAGAAATTTGCCAACGCTGGTCTAGACCCTACCTCGAAACTGCTGTATAACAGGCCCCACGTGGCAGTCAGAGACCCATAAAAATTTTCCTGGAGAAATAGAGAGCCAAAACCATTTTATAGTCACTAATGACTGAACAGAAGGTATGGTAACTCGAAGGTCCCTGGGCTCAGTACAAGCAAATTCTTACATATACAATCCCCTTCTAACAATACAGACACGAAGGAATACTGAAGACCTCCTGTTTCTGGGCAGTATATGTCAGATAAGGTAGACTAGCCCTATATACTGAGGACGTTGTGCACTTGTCCAAGCCCATCAACCACTCTCCCAGTTGCATCCTGAGATAAGAGGAGGAAGGTGACTCCTGGACCATCTAACACGGGCCATTAGTCCTTTGCAGCCAGTGCCACTGCTCATGTGAGGATGACAAGGACAGCACCTGGTCTCCAGTCCCAGAGCGGTTACCTTTTCTTAATGTCTCCCGTCTTTCCTCCACTTCTCTGTTGACTCGATTCTGTGTCGGTTCAACCTCAGGCCCCTGGTCCTCAAGTTCATCTTCGGTTTCATCGTCACTGTACGGAACCACTTCATCATTGGGCTGAGAATCCTCCTCAAATGTCGTTTCTGAGTCTCTTTCTGTATTCATTCTGCTGGCAAACTGGAACTACCTGGTTTAAGAGAAAGGGAAACCAGAGTGAATTATGACCTGTGCCCAGTTTTTGGTAGAATTCTGTCTACCTCTGGTTACAATGCCTTTTAACAGACTAGCATCTTACTAACATATAAATGCACCTGAATAATGACCCCAAAGCTCAAATTCTTATGCAAATAAGAACCAAACCATTCATTATTGGTGAAATGCTTGGGTGAGAATTAACAACAAAAAAAAGGAACTGCAATTTTTTTTTTAAGAGGAAGGATAGACAAACTTTAAGGTTGTATTTCAAGCCCTAACTGGTTTGGCTCAGTGGATAGAGTGTTGGCCTGCGGACTGAAGGGTCCCAGGTTCAATTTGGGTCTAGGGCATGTACCTTGATTGTGGGCACATCCCCAGTCGGAGGTGTGCAGGAGGCAGCTGATCGATGTTTCTCTCTCATCGATGTTTCTACCTCTCTATCCCTCTCCCTTCCTCTCTGTAAAAAATCAACAGAGCATATTAAAAAAAAAAGGTTATATTTCAAATTGTGGGTCTCTACCCAGCAAAATCAACTTAACTGGTTCACAACCAACATTAAAAGAAAGTGAAACCGATTCCAAAATCTCAGAGTACAGCACACACAGTAAGAATTAGTACTGCTGGCGAGACAGTTTTACAAAACAAGGCATATACACATTTATTTGCATCATGAGTTTTCATGGAATTGAATTTTGTATTGTGTATTGCTCACAAAATTTCAAACCCATTGCCCTAAGATATCTGGTTTCTGCTAACACTAATATTTTGAGTCTTTACTCCGATACATTAAATACAAGCTTAAGTCATCAAATTCTGCTAACGACTTCCTGGGAGCACTCCCTAGCCAATTTTCCTAACTGGCACCACCCACTGCCTGCATCTCGATTTTGTATTTGTGTATATGCCACTGTATAAAATGACTGTCCACAAGCAACAAAGACAACCTGAGTTACATTTATATTAGGAAAATATTGACACAAATACTTCAGGACAGACATACAGCCGGGCAATATTTACATAAGCATTACACTGCTATGTACTCAGTATTGTCAATAGCACCTCATATTTATTTAGTGTTACCAGCACACCAGGCCCTACCTACATGCATTATAGACACTGACCTTTGAAACTTCCCATACACCTTGGTGAAGGTATTATTGCTATTCCTCCTCAACAGAGGAGAAAGCCTAAATTCTGTGAGGTTGAATAACTTGCATGATAATTATTAAAAATTTGCAGCAAAATCATCTGCTTCCCAAAGAGAGATTTTCTATATTCTACTTTTACGTTGCAATTTGTTATATATTTTAATGGGGTGTTAGTTGCCTCGTGTGGAACTATTCAGCTGACTGCATGGCTTTATACCAAACCTAGCCTCTTGGACATGTACATTTTTATAGTCCCAAATGTACATCCAGGAACTGTTCAAATATTTATGAGGCTTTTGTCCGGTGTTATTTAAAATGGTACATAAATTGTGGCCTCTTCATACTATGGAGACAGATATAAACTAGTTATTTAGATAGTGATCACAAGAGTTTTTAATGACATTGCAAACGTCCAAACACATGAAGTTGAAAGTGAGTTACAATCCCTATGTACAGCACAGTCCCAGTCATTCACACACACATTTACTCATTTTCTGAATTTCCAACAACTGGCATGTGTGATTTTAAATGAGATGATGCATGAAGTGCTTGATTCAGGGTTTAGCCTATTGTAAGTACTCAAACGTTAGCCATCGTTATTGTTAACAATTATTCCCATAATTATCAAAAAAGTTATTTACAATAATAAATGGGACCATATGGGGATCTATCCCTTTAGGCTTTTCCATCTCTGAAGATCACTAAAATGCACCTGCCCATCACTGGGGGTTAAAATATTAGGCTATCTATCTATATAAAAGCCTAAGTGACTGACCGCTTGACCGGTCACTATGACGCACACTGACCACCAGGGGGTAGACGCTCAATGAAGGAGCTGTCCTCTGGTGGTCAGTGTGCTCCCACAGTGGGAGTACCGATCAGCTGACCAACCTGTCCCAGCAGCCCAGCAGCCCATGGCAGCCACTCCCTCCCTCAGTAGTCCTGCAGGTCCAATCTCTGGAGAATGGGCCAGGCACCGCCAGACCGGTGCCACCGGCACAATCCCGACAGCGCTGGCACAATGCCGCCAGCCTCCTGGAAGTCGGCCTTGTGGACCATGGTTGCTTCCCTCCCTAGACATAAGCAAGGAAGAAACAATATAAAAGTGGCCACCAGGTGGCTCCTGACAACCGGCACGAACGTCAGCGGGTTGGATCTGGATCCCAGGCTGGCATAGGATGGGCACCAGGCGCACGGCACACGGGCGAGTGTTGCTGCTGCAGTGCGAGCCTCTCCCAATTGGGACTGACTGGGTCTGAGCCTGCGGCAAGAGCAGTGGGGCCGGGATGAGCAGGAGCAGCAGGCAGGAGTGGCAGGTGGTGTTGGATTGCAGGTTTCAGCCAGATCCCTGCAGCCACCCAGAGGGACCCCACCCATGCACGAATTCGTGCACTGGACCTCTAGTTATAAAATATGAGTCTATTTAAGCACAGACGTATTCAGCTATAAAACCTCTTAATTGCAGAGTGAAACATTTTCCCTCTTTCCCAACTGTCTGTGGGTTTGTAAATGGATATTTCTTGGGACTTCACAAGCGTTTAATTGGCCTTTTGGTGGTTTTGTAATATAGTGGCATCAATGCTTTAGCTAATATTTAAATTTAATACAGTCTCTTTTTAAAATTTCCAAACTCTGAGAGGCAAATCTTATACCAGAAGTCTTTTAGAACACCAATAATAAAGTGGTTACCACTTACTAAGCACTTACTATGTCAAGCAAGACTAACCTGGGAGGTAGATATTATCATCCCATCTTACAGATAAGTAGACTGAGGCTCAGCTGGTAAATAGCAGGGTCAGGATCTAACCTCTCCATTATAGGGGCATATAAAATATTGTAAAGTCTGAAAGCACCTTATACAAACATTTTTTATTGTAGTAAAACATACACAACATAAAATTTACCACTTAAACCATTGTTAAGTGCACAGGTCAGTGGCATTAAGCGCATTCTATAGAAGCATTTTGTAAGCGAACATATCATCACTTCTAGGCATCTCCATGCATGTTTCGCATATTAAGACTGAGTCCAGTCCTTGACGTAGGGAGAGGAGACAAACACACAAAAAGAATGGATTGGACAACCACAAGTATGTAATCCAAAGTAAGCAAGGCCTTGCATAACCAAAGAGCTCCCCACCCAAGCACACACACACACACACACACATGCAGGCCAGATCTGTGCAGGCGACCTGGTAAGCACAGCAGGGAGCTCAAAGCTGCGTGGCAAGTTCTCTGATGTCTGCATGTGTGTGCAGTCCAGACACAGCCACACTACACGTGGGGCTACTGTAGCTATGTCACTTTAGGGCAATGAAAGAAAAATAAGGAAGAAATAATTTCTTTGAAACCCTAGCCAAAGCTTTCCAGGTCCAAACCATGATCCCTACAATGCAGGCACTGTGTATACCACGGCTTTGGAAACGGTAACATTCTCACCACCACGGCAGCACACTGCAGCTACCTGTGTGTTTACTGAGCCTCCCTTAAGCACCTGCTTGGACAGGCTACTACACTAGGCCCTGGGAACAGACCCCTTAGCAGTGGTTCTCAACCTTCTGGCCCTTTAAATACAGTTCCTCATTTTATGGTTGTGACCTAACCATAAAATCATTTTCGTTGCTACTTCATAACTGTAATGTTGCTACGGTTATGAATCGTAATGTAAATATCTGATATGCAGGATGGTCTTAGGAGACCCCTGTAAAAAGGGTCATTCGACCGGACTTCCTGCGATGACCTTTCAGGCCACCAGAGCCCTGCCATTCTCTGCAGGCTGGTTCCCACCCCTCCTTCTCAGTGCTCATGAAAGACAGATTTCCAAGACAAAGACTCAAACTCTATCCCCCAAGGCAGACAAAACTTTTCAGCCCCTCCTGCCCACCCCTTACCTGCTCCTCCCTAAGGGAGGGGCCCTGAGCTTGCAGCACTAAGGGGGGTCATGTTACTCTATCATCTGTTCAGGCTGCTGTGTGGGCTATTTCCACCTGACATCTCCATGTGGGCAACAGCCCAGGAGGGGGTCTGCCTTCTAGTAGTAACTCCAGTGTCCCTCTCTTCTCTGTTCTGTCCCCATCCACGCAGCTGTCTGGTTAGTGGACTCTAGACCTTTCCATAGGCTTTCTAAAACGAGTCTGGGGTGGGGGAAGAAAGAGAGGGATGACTAGGAACCACAAGGCCTTATTTACACCAGAGCTCGATTAGGGGTTTTTCCAGCATTTAATACAGCAGTGCCTTGTTTCCCATCCTGCCTCCTATAGCATTCAGCCCTCTTGGTCATGAACCCCAGATGACAGGAGGGGTAAACAGCAGGATTTCCAAACTTGAAGCCCTAACATCCATCATTTGTCATCTTCAAATACTTGGCTATGAAATCCTCTGTCCCCTATGTCGGGGGAGAAGGTGCTGAAGGAGAGAGAAAAAGGGAATCCAGGCAAAAGGAATAAAATTTCTGCCTTTGCAATAAAACTCTGAAGTTAGAAGGAATGAAAGCTCAAACTTTCATTGATAACACAGGTTTCCAGATTCCAATAAAGGGAAAATGGGGACAAAAATAGTTGAGTTTTTTGGATATGATCTGTGTGCATACACAGCAACAACAAGAAGTTGGGCTGGGAGAGGCCAGGAGTCCCCAATCAATGATATCTTTGTTGTGTAACTTGATTTGTGTCCAGGGAGACCCAAGTAAGATTCACAGTATTCATTTTTGTTCGTTCTTTGTCATCTTTTTTTTAACAGCTTTTAAAGTCTTCAGTAAGAAAGGATATTTCTGAAATGTGTTTTTCTTTTTTAAAAAAGATATATTTTTATTGATTTCAGAGAGGAAGGAAGAGGGAGAGACAGAA